GTGGTAGAGTGCCCCTCCGTTCAATCCCCAGTACAAAAAAAAAAAAAAAAAAAAAAAAAAAAAAGAAAGAAAAGAAAGAAAAAAGAAGAAAAGAAAAAAAAGTCAGTGAGGCTATAGCTTAGTAGTAGAGCTTTTGCATGCAAGGCTGTTGGGCTCAATCTTCAGTACCAAACACACCAAAAAGTTCTAAAAATGCATTTTTTTAACCATAATATGTTGATTAGAATAGAATTGTTCTATTTTTTTTTCCTCAAAAATTTTAAGTCATTGCTTATTTACCTTGGTATTCCACTGGAGATCTCAGTTACCATTCTGTATGGTGATTCTTCAAATGTGACCTATTCACCTTTCTCAACTTTTTTTGGGGGGGCAGGGTGCTGGGGATTGAACCATGGTCTTGTGCATACAAGGCAAGCACTCAACCAACTGAGCTAAATCCCCAGTCGAATATTTATTTTCTTTCCAGGTATTCTGAAATTGCATAACAATGTAAATTTGAATGTTGCATAAATGAGTATAAAATGTTATTTATTTTTCTGAACATACTATGGATACTTTAAATATGGAAACTGGTTTACTTATATCCAGGAGCTTTTGTTGAATTATTTATTTGGAAATAAATTTTTTTGTTGGTACTACATCATTAGAGTTGATGAAATTTACTATGAATAAGACCATCTTAATGAAACAAGAGAAAATGTTTATACCTTTTAAGAGTCCAGCCATGAGCAGTCCTGCTTCACAATGTACTTGGTGAAGACTGAAAATTGTGACTTAACCCCATAGAGAGTATCAGATCCAGGCTTTAGTCTTTGCTACTTCTGTTTTGCCCCACTTGCCCTCCACTAACCCTGGGAAATTAAGAAGCGAAGAAGTTGTTTGCCATAGGAGGCTGAGATGGCAAAAGAAAACAAAATTCAGCTGAAAACTTTAAAACTAAATTCAGAATAAGTAAATTTCATTGAAATTTATATAGAAAAAGAAAAACCTATGGGAAAAAAAGAAGTTAAGAAAAGCAAAATTTAAAGCAAATTGCAAAAAAGCAGCTGGAGATGTGTTTTAGTGGCATAGTACTTGACTAGCATGTTTGAGGCCCAACAGCAGGAAATAATGAAATCAAATATGTTGCATTCCCCCATCCAAAAAAAAAAGTATGTTGCATTTATTATGTGAAGATGAATGAGCAGTTCCTAATTTAAGGGGTGAATTTAGTGCACTATTATGAAGTATCTATATTTCATTAGTACTTAAATAAGGGAATGT